TCTGACCTCCCTGCAGACCTACATGGGCCAGACGAGGCCGGCAGTGGATGGCATATGCCTGGGCGTACCTGCAGGGGAGGTACCTACCTCACTTTCTATACCTCTTTTCAACAAACACAGTTTCCGTAATCATGCCCTGCTGTACTAATGGTTGAGGACAACAAATTTAATCCATTTTTTTCTTAGCAGCCAGCAATTTTTAAAAAAGTGTGGATTACATCATTAAAAGCCTTAACAATAAAAATGGAAAATAGATGCCTGTGTGTGTGTATATTACCACAGTTCTTATTTATAGCCCCTTCATTCACATTCACAGCACCGTGCTCATCCCATGCTCCAGTGACGTCATTCCGGAGGTACCATACTCCTCCTCAAAACCCCCTGTGATGTTCTCAATCTTCCTCCCAGTGTTTTGGTCTCCTCGGCGTTAACGGAGCCGGGAAGACAACCACCTTCAAGATGCTGACGGGAGACACGGATGTCAGCTCTGGGGACGCTTCCGTCGCCGGTTACAGGTAGCAGGCAGTGTGGATGGTCGGCACCAATCTCAACATAAGTTTGGCCACAGGCTGAGTTTTCCTCTGAACTGGAACTTCACCATGGTGTCACTTCCTAAGTGACGCTAAACTGTGCCGACTCAATATAGAACCAAGCACCCTGATGCTTATCCCTGCTGTCTCCTCATCCCTCAGCATTCTGACCAACATCCTTGACGTCCACCAGAACATGGGCTACTGTCCCCAGTTTGACGCCATCGACGAGCTCCTGACTGGACGGGAGCACCTCCATCTCTACGCTCGCCTCCGTGGGGTGCCCGAGTCTGAGATTGGCAGGGTGAGCAGGACCTCCAGACCCACCTTGCACCACATACAGCTGTATATTACAGGTGTCGGCCTACTTCAAGTCATGTCCCATAGCCAGACATAAATTTGTATCCACCTATTGCTGAGCAGTGCAGGACTAAACATTAGGGCTGACATAGGCAACAGCTTGGGGCACCATCTTCTGAGAGGGTGCTGACTCAGCAAGCCGACTATTCCTCTCCTTCAGTAGGGGGCACTGGCGGTGAAATTGGCCTAGGGCACCACAGGGGCTTTCTCAGAGAGTCTGAGAAGTAACTACATCCATTTCTGCTAATTCTGGCTGTCCTCTAGGTGGCAGAGTGGGCTGTCCAGAAACTGGGTCTGTCTAAGTATGCAGAGTGCAACGCCGGTACCTACAGCGGTGGAAACAAGCGCAAGCTCTCGACGGCTATAGCCATGATCGGCTGCCCATCTCTGGTCCTGCTGGTGAGCAGGTTTCATGTAACCCAGGGGTGTCAGACTCCAGTCCTGGGGGGCCAGAGCCCTACACAGTTTTTGGTTTACCTTCATTTAACACACCTGATTCAACTCCTTGTGCTAATTACCACAGAGCTCATAAGCTAAATCGTTTGTGATGGAACAGGGAAAGAGCTAAGCTACACAGGGCTCCGGCCCTCCAGGATCAAGCGTGGGGTCGCTTCATTACAGGGGGCAGGGAAACACCCCCAATCTAAGTGTTCTGCTTAGCTGATCTGCGTATTGGTGTAGCTAAGGCAGTGTATGGCTCAGCGGGTGTCGAGTAGGGTAGGACCTCTACAAAGACAAGGGAGGGAAAAATCACCTAGTAACCAAGTTCCCATGACAGACTTTCTAACAGTACCTTAGGACAGTGTTCCCCAAACCAGTCCTCGGGGCACACTGAACATATGCACATTTTTGTTTTATCCCAGATTTCACAGCTTGGTCCTTGATCAAGATCAAGCTCCAGGAACTGACTCCTTTCTCAGTTGTTTGTTGCTTTGGACAAAAGTATCTGCTAATATAGGTAAACTTCTAGCATCGCACAGACTGTTACAACACGGTATCATGTGTGTATAACTTAAGGATGAGCCTACCACCGGCATGGATCCACACTCCCGTCGCTTCCTGTGGAACTCCATCTTGAGTGTCATTCAGGATCGGCGAGCTGTGGTCCTCACATCTCACAGGCAAGTCGCCCACACCACCCTCGTGTCTCTCAGGCGTGTAACTCAGCTGTTTTCGCAGGTTAATTGAGCCACTCTCTCGCCCTTTGCAAACGGCAATGAAAGAAACAGGCTGGAGTCGACGGCATCGTTGGCGATGCCGAGTGTCTTTCTCGTGTATTTCAGTTCATAACTCGCTGAAATCTTATTATAGAAACGTGAAAAAAACGCTGACTAAATCTGTAATCTGTCGTCTTTTCAAATTGTCCATTGTCGGAAGTATTAAATTTGATAAAATTAGCTTAAATCGGCAAAAAATTAACCCATGTCACCTTACTTTGTTTTACCTGCATCGGAGGCGTGTAGTACCGCTGTCACCCGAAGATCGCTATTCACATTCTAAATAGCCGCGTTAGCGCGTATTCAGATCGCATTCGCATGGTAATTTGATGAACAGCGCAACGGTGAAACGCGATCCAGATACATCCCCATCAGCGCCATAAAAGGGGGGTGGGGGGAACGTGGCTCATTCATACACATGAAAGTTGCTACATATTCATTGAAAGGAGCTAGAAATAGTGACATGAATTCGGTTTTTCTAATTTATTTATCCAACTGAATGTTGCAACTACACCGTTTAGTCATCTTCATGTAGCCAAGACTTTGTTGATCAGATATCTTGGATCAAAACAAGCTGCCAGCATTAGTACTATGTACTTTTATAATGTGTCTGCAATTGTTCCAAACTGCATTTTGCAATGTCTATACTTTGATGTAAAATTACAAACTTGATATAAATCTGACATATTTACAAAGTACACTAAGATAAAGATGAGTTTAATGCCAAAACAAATATATAAGAAATTATTTATTTGCCATGAATTAAGTTTATGATATTTGAAGAAATGTGTGATCATGTTCCAGTCAGTGAAAGTGTGTTTCCTACCCCTAGACCCCAGAGGGTTAAACATCAACCTCAGCTGCGTTTCAAGGGCCACTTAAGTCAGGAGTGTCCAATCTCATCCGCAAAGGGCCGCTGTGTATGCGGGTTTTCTCTGCAACTCCCTAATTAGAGGACTGATTGGCTGAAGAGTCCTCACACCTGGCTTTGAACAGCTGACCTAAAGATTATCCCAAAAACCTGCATACACACCGGCCCTTTGCGGATAAGATTGGCCACCCCTGACTTAAGCCGTTCTTTAATAGGCATCTGGTCATATGCCTGTGAAATATCCGTAAGGCTGCCTGGCTTCCAGAGCATGCTGTGTGTGTGGGTGCTTGGTGGGATGCTGTCTCAGTTCTAACAGTAGCCTTTCCTCCTCTCTGCGCTCTGCTAAGCATGGAGGAATGTGAGGCGCTCTGCACCCGCCTGGCTATCATGGTCAATGGGACCTTCAAATGTCTCGGCACAATCCAGCACCTAAAATACAAGTAAGTCCATTGGCCGGCTAAGCACACAGAAATAGACGCTCCTCTACTTACAAACTTTCAAGCTATACGAATGAAGAGGACTGTAAGTCCAAATTGCGTTCATTGGGCTCCCGTTTCCTATTGTGACGGCCCTGACCCGGGTAAAATGCCCCAAGCTGTCGAGCAGCTAAGGTGGACCCATAGTAACACTCAAGTGACATCATGGTACTTGGTATAACATGGTTTTATTGACTAGTTAAATGTATGGATTGAAGTGAAGAACAGGTTAGTTCTGCATATGTCTATCTAACTTACCAGGGAAAGTGCAACCAGCAAAAGAGTCCCATGGGAAACGTGGATGTTTTATGGGGAACCAAGAAAATTGGACTTCAATATGGAAGGGGATATTTTGTTTGGTGTGATGGTAGGGGATTACGTGGTAAAATAAAATGTTGAATTTTGGTAGTTAAGTAAACTATGTGGATTATGCTTTTAAGAAAAAAAGATGTTAAGAGGTGATGGGTTGTGCTTGTTTAATGTCTAGTAAACCGTGTTCCTCACCCTTTTGAGGTTGTGATGGTGCTGGACACCATTATATAGGGAGGTTTGGTTTAAGGTATAAAAAGGAAAGGGCTGCCCATAGTTTGGTGTTGTTAAGTGTGCAGATACATCCCTCCTTTATTTTTTTTTCCTCCCTCCATTTTTCCCCCTTTTTGTGCGTTCGGTTCTTCAAGAAGGAGGCATGGAATCTTGTTTTTTGTAATAAAAGAAATGTATTTTTGGAGTCCCGCCTGCTGTCCTCCTGTCTTTGGTGGCCGACCCCATGGGTTTTGCCGGTGCTCTCGCTCAGGCCATCACACCTTTCTGCAACATCAGTTTGTTTTTCTGTGCGCTAATTCCGACTAGTTTGACTTCTAGCTGCTACTCCCACTGCGCAGTTGTTAAATATCGACTTTTGGACATTTCAAGTTATGAACGGCTGTTCGGAATGTAACTCATTCGTAAGTAGAGGAGTGTCTGTATAGGTTAATGCTTCTAGTACAGTCTGGCTCACCAAATCCAAGCAGCATGTGGCTTCCTCAGTTAGCTAAATGACATTTATAATTAGAAGTAGTCTTTAAAACGGTGTCTCTCATCCTAGTCCTTGGGGACCCCGCACCACATTTCTGCTCTCTCCCAGTGCCCAACACCTCTATACAAAGTACTAGGTGTTCTTCATTGGCTGGGAGCACACTAGGTGCTCTTGATTGGCTGGGAGCACACTTGGTGTTCTTGATTGGCTGGGAGCACACTAGGTGTTCTTGATTGGCTGGGAGCACAAATGTGGTCTATCTAGGGCAGGGCTCCCCAGTTCTGGTCTTGGAGGGAAAGAGTCCAACACAGTTTGTAGATTTCCTGCTCAAACACATCTTAGTCAGCTGATTGCCCGGTTTATTAGGTGTGTCTGAGCAGCTGAAATCTGCACTTGGACTCTTGCCCTCCAGGACTGAAACAGGGAAATCCAAATCTAGGGCTTCCTGAGGACTGAGATGAGAAACACTGTTTTAAAAATACATAAGCAGCTTCAGATTTGAAGCTTGTATCTCCTGTGGGAGCTGCTCCTCCATGTTCACATGCGCCCACATTGCCCGGTGGACAGGTTCGGTGACGGCTACGTGGTCACCATGAAGATCAGGCCCGGCAGAGCTGGGATGAGCCCGGACCTCCGGCCGGCTGAAGCCTTCATGGAGAGCAGCTTCCCGGGCTGCGTGCAGAGAGAGAAGCACCACAGCACGCTGCAGTACGAGGTCCCCGTCTGCTCGCTGGCCCGCATCTTCCAGCTGGTGCTGACCAACAAGGAGAAGCTCAACATCGAGGACTACTCAGTCTCCCAGACGACGCTTGACCAGGTACGATAACGTCACTGAACGGGTACCGCCAGTCATTCATCTCTCCGGATTTTCCACCTTTGAGAACCGTTCTCCATTAGGGCCAGCATGTGGCTTAGTGGATTACGACACTATGCCCATGATCAGAAGGTCATCGGTTCAGATCTCAGGCACAGCAGAATGATTTCACCACTGAGCGAGGTCCTTAACCACCAACTGCTCCTGCTTTCACAACTTTGGATAAAGTGTCCGCTCAATAATTGTTAACATGCCCCCCTCTAGTCTGTTTACTCAAAGCTATCTGTATGCGTAGGGGGTTCTTTAATTTAAGTTCTACTTTCTTTGTTTTTTTGGGTACAAACTGCAGGTTTTTGTAAACTTCGCCAAACAGCAGCAGTTGGGAGAGGAGGATAACCTGGTGTTACACCCACGGGCAGCCGGGGGGCGCCGAGGGACAAAGATCACTCCGCTCAAAGGAAAGACATCCCGAAGGGGAAGAATAGTTAGGAATAATGACTAAATGTTATCAGAGGTATAGGACCCCTGCAGAGATGGGAAAGGCCCTCAGCGAGGAAACATCTGTAACGAAAAACTACGTTTATTATTTATTTTTAACTTTATTTTTTTCTCAGTCTACATGAGTACTTGTCTGTCCTTGTTAATTGACAGCGCGAGTGTTATCGATAGCTGCGGGTGTCGCGCGACCGGCGTTTCTGTCCGCGTACTTTCGCATCAAACACCCGCGGGGTAATATTATCTAACGCCGGTAATATTGTAGCACACTTGAATAAATTAATACTCCGTGTGGCGTTTGTCCTTTTTCCTTTTATTGCAAAATCTGCAATCACATAGCCTACAAACAGTTAGCGGGTTAGCAGCGTGGATGCCCGCGTGTGAACGCTACTTTGGCTGCGTTTAATCTGAGCCAAAATGCTGCGCCAAATAAACATGGAACACATCCACACCAATTAACCAACCATCCATTGCCTGAAAATATCTAGTACACTAATACAAGCTAGGTTACTAACTATTCCTCCAGCCATTCACCACCGTCACTAGATGCATTTTATGCGAACGCCATTAAGCCGATTCCGCCTTTATACGGTACAAGTTTCACATACGCTTCCTTTTAAAATAAGAAAACATTACTCGCTTTCTCACTGTTTACATCTATTACGCCATTCCCCTCGCATATGCTTTTGTGGCTTCTTTGCTTACCTGCAATCACATACAAACAGTTAGCGGGTTAGCAGCGTGGATGCCCGCTTGTGAACGCTACTTTGGCTGCGGGAGTGGTGAGAGGAAAGTACTGTGCGTGAACTGCAAGTTGCGGTGGTAAATTTCTTTCCTTCAGTTCAAAGTGTGGCCAAACATAACAAGTCATCTCAAATATAAATAAAATATTATGGGGGTAGCCTGGGATAGGCATAAAACAGCCAGATCCTTACACTCTCCCCCCCTAGAAGAAATGACATCCCGACATTGATATCACCAATCCACCTTATGCTCATTGCACAGTATTGTCCTGGTGGTCCGAATAGGAGGCAGCAGTCCATATAAAAGGAACACAAGATACACCGCTGTAAGCAGTTCCACATGTGACGTCTGTCTCCTCTTAACGTCACATGGTTGCCGTGAGTGTCATTGTGCACGATAACAGTCCACAGCGGCCTCAGCCATTGGCCAGGATCTCTGTATCTTTCCTGAGAGAAAGGTACTCAGACGGAGTCCTAGTTCAGTACCATCACATAATGTATGTGGTTTGGTACATCTGTGATGGGTTCTTTCAAATGATCAGTACCATGTAACCAAATGACTGCAACATATCAACTGAACATTAACATTACACTATCCACTCATGTCAGTATCATTTCAAAGTGACAATTAACACCATTAATGCGAAAAGGGAATAAAGTGGGCTGTCCCACTTGATTATAAGTTAACATCTGTTTCGGCTTGCCATTTTGGTTGACATTACATCACATCTTAATGAGCTCAGTTTAAAGCTGCAGGGCCAAAACAATTCCGTTTCTGATTTGATGACAGCTGCTCGCTCTTTCCAGAGGAAGCTGGACATTTTCAAAGAAGATCTTGAAGGAGAGTGTGAACACTTCCCAAAACTGCAGGAACAGATTCAGGGTGAGAGAGATTTTTCTCCCTATCTTAACTTCATTAAGAAGCTGATTGGAAATTTCAGTAACAGGTTCAACAGCTTCTGCCTTGGGCAGCAGCTCCTCCTGCTAATCCAGAATCCTTTCCTCATCAGAGGATTTCCAAAGGAGGCGACTCAGACATTCAAGTGGGCACATGCAGGATCTCTACAGCTTGAGCTCATTCATCTGCAAGGAAATGCTGCATTAAGAGAGCATTTTGAGACTCTGCTACTTTCTGGTTACAGACTATTTCTGAGAGTGTGTTCCCTGGTCTAACCAAAGTAGCACTGCATGCCTTGACTGTGTTTGGATCGACTTACAGCTGTGAGTCAGCTTTTTCCACTATGAACATGATCAAAAACAAGTACCGTTCTAGGCTCAACAATGAACACCTACATATCTGCATGAGAATGGCACTAACTCCATTCCAACCAAGATCTAAATTACTGGCAGGGCAGCCACATGCCCATTTCCCCATTAAAAAAAAAAAAGAAGAATTAAAAGAGGAAAGTTCAAAGAAAAATGTTCAAAGCTCTGTTTGTATTTCCCCCCTAAAAAGCCACTTGTTTTCTGAAGATGTGGACTTTTTTACTTGAAAAGTATATAAGCCCTCAATTGTTTTTAGGCTGGGACCTCCTTATTTTAAGAACAAAGAAGAGAAAATGTTAAGTCAATGCTGTGTTTGCATTTTTTAGTTATTGTTTTCTGAGTTGACTTTTTTACTTGAAGTGTAGGCCTTCAATTCTTCAGGTTGGGACCTCTTTAATTTAAGAGAAAAAGGAGGTATTCCACTCTGCACTTTTTAAATTTATTTTATTCTGAGGTTTCTGTTTTCTTTAATCTGAAATAAAGGCCTTGAATTTATTTGCTATAAGGGGAAGGCTATAAGACACAAGATGACCTTCGGTTCGGACCTTCTACTTGGACGAAATTTAATAACTGGACCTCAGTGACTTTTAATTGATTACCCCTGATCTAAGGTCTTCAGTACAATATCAACCTCTGCATGATCAGAGAGAATTACATTTCCAGTACAAGCACTCTGAATACTGCTAACAAAACCCATAGAGATCAATATATAATCCATTGGGAATGTGGGTGGGAAACAAATGCAGTCTTTTTTTCAAAGGATGCAGTGTTCGCCTAAAATCTAATAGGCTGAGATCCTCCAACATCATATCAGTGACTCTGTGTGTCAGAGGAGTGTCCTGTCTGTCATAAGAGCGCCCTGTCTGTTAGAGGAGTGTCCTGTCTGTCAGAGGAGTGCCCTGTCTGTCATAGGAGTGCCCTGCCTGTCAGAGGAGTGCCCTGCCTGTCAGAGGAGTGTCCTGTCTGTCAGAGGAGTGCCCTGTCTGTCATAGGAGTGCCCTGTCTGTCAGAGGAGTGTCCTGTCTGTCATAGGAGTGCCCTGCCTGTCATAGGAGTGCCCTGCCTGTCAGAGGAGTGTCCTGTCTGTCAGAGGAGTGCCCTGTCTGTCATAGGAGTGCCCTGTCTGTCAGAGGAGTGCCCTGCCTGTCAGAGGAGTGTCCTGTCTGTTAGAGGAGTGCCCTGTCTGTCATAGGAGTGCTCTGTCTGTCAGAGGAGTGCCCTGCCTGTCAGAGGAGTGTCCTGTCTGTCATAGGAGTGCCCTGCCTGTCAGAGGAGTGTCCTGTCTGTCAGAGGAGTGTCCTGTCTGTCAGAGGAGTGTCCTGTCTGTCATAGGAGTGCCTTGCCTGTCAGAGGAGTGTCCTGTCTGTCAGAGGAGTGTCCTGTCTGTCATAGGAGTGCCTTGCCTGTCAGAGGAGTGTCCTGTCTGTCAGAGGAGTGTCCTGTCTGTCAGAGGAGTGCCTTGCCTGTCAGAGGAGTGTCCTGTCTGTCAGAGGAGGGTC